GGATCATGACCCAAGCCGAAGGCAGTTGCTTAACCAACTGAACCACCCAGGTGCCCCCCAGCGCAGATTCTTAACCCCTGGAGGAAACCACCCTCTGCCCGAGGAATCCTTGACAGCCATTCTTGACAGTTGGAATCTTCGGGGCTACTCTTTGAACTTGAAAGTAGTAGCAGTTATAATAGGTACCATTGACCAAGTGCCGACTCTGTGCTGGCCGTGGCGACAGACCCTTGACGGTATGTTACTTTGTTGACTCCTCACAGCAGCCCAAGGAGGTAAATACCGTAATCGTTCCCATTTGGTAGATGTGAAAATCGAGGCCTAGAGAAATGAAGGGCTCTGCCCGTGGGCTCATGGCTAGCGAGAGGTAGGGCTGGGACTTGAACCCTGGCAGTCTGACCGAGGTGCGGGGAGCTGGGTTGCGGGCGTGAACTTGATTGTTCTCTCTTGTGTCAGCACTGCTGCACATTTACCCCTCCTGTGGTGCCCGCAGGGATGCCCTGGGTGTCAGTGTGAGGGCAGGGTGGCAGGGCTGGCTGTGGCCCCGGGGTGGGAGTTGGGGCTGGCTGGGTCCTCTTTGCAGCCTGAGGGCTCTGCGGATGGAGGATGAAGTAGCTCTTGCCCTCTCTTTTGTGGGAGATCATGTAGGTAAAGTGCTTAGCACAGTATGTGATCATAATAGGGATCATAATTGAGATCATAATCTCAAAAATGATTATTATTTAAAAACCATTTTATCTGAGGGCCATGAGTAACCCGTGTGTTCGCTTGCTTCCGACCTGAAGCCTTCATCTGGGCCCCTGGGTCCCCCAAGCTCTGGGTGACATGTGGCGGGGAGGGGGCACTGCCCCCCGGTTGCCCCGAGGGGGCTGGGATGGCTGATGAGACCCAGCCTGGGGTCCGGGGACCCCCTGGTAACCTGGGCAGGATCACCGTGGACTTCATTTGTATCCACACAGCTGGGCCGTAAGCTGACTGTGGCTAATCCCCCCAGTTTATGGGTGGGGAGACCCTTTAGGCCCATATAGGAGTTGTGTCCTCTGTGGGGTCACACAGCAAAGATGGGTTTGGACCCAAGACACTGGTGTCCCAGCTGCTCTTCTGTCCTTACTGGAGGACAGGTTCCCCCCTCCCCCGGTTAGGAGGTCCCAGGGAAGAGGGCGGGCAGCTGGCCGTGGGTGACTGTGCTGCACCTGGGAGAGGGGGGCAGAGGACGTGAGATCGGAGGGAGCGAGGGGCCGCTCCTGGGGTCTCACTGCAGCCTCTTTTCCCGTTCCAGGGTTACCACAGGTCAAACCACTTCATAGCTGCTCAAGGTACCTGCACCTCTGCCCGCGCCCGTGTGCTGAGTGCCGTCTGCCCTGCTGCCTTCCCTCTGACCTGCTTGGCTCCCTGTCTGCCTCCCTGATGTCTCTCTGTCCAAGTCCCACTGTCTGGCTGCGGCTTCTGGCCGCCAGTCTCTGCTCCTTTGTGTTCGTGTCTCCCCGATGTGCTCAGTGCATGTGTAGTTCCCTTGGTCGTCTGTCTGTCTCTGAGGTGGTGCATGCAGAAGGGTAGGCAAGCTCAGTCCTGCCAAGTGTGGATGGTGCCTCTGGCTCTGGGGGCTGCCTGGGTCCCTCTGGCTGTCTTTGCCCCCAACTGTTCATTTGTCCGTTCCTCTGAGAGACTTGGGCTGTAGACTGAGGATCTAGCCCTCTGGCTCTGCCTCCTGGGTTTCAGTCGGGATGATTGGGGTCTCCGGCCAGCCAGGCCCTCTCTGATCCTACCCATACCCTTGGGGCCCCCCAGGCACGAGTTGGCATTGGGTGGGGTGTGCACGGGGTGAGCATGACGCCTTCACTGGGGCTCAGGAGCCTCCTGGCCTGGGGTGGGGGTGCTGGGCAGCAGGTGCGCTGGCCCTGGGTGGAGACCTTGCCTCAGGGATGAGCACCCTCTGCGCCCCAGGGCCGAAGCCCGAGATGGTCTACGACTTCTGGCGCATGGTGTGGCAGGAGCACTGTTCCAGCATTGTCATGATCACCAAGCTGGTGGAGGTGGGCAGGGTAAGCAGGGCCTTGGGGTGAGGGGGTAAGGCGGGCCGGGGGAGGGGCAGCAAAGAGCCCACTGAGCCCGCTTGTGGGGACCCCAGGTGAAATGCTCACGGTACTGGCCGGAGGACTCGGACATGTACGGGGACATCAAGATCACGCTGGTGAAGACGGAGACTCTAGCTGAGTATGTCGTGCGCACCTTCGCCCTCGAGCGGGTGAGTCTCCTGTTACCTTGGTCCCTGCAGGGGTGCCTGAGGAGGGGGGGGCAGAGTCCACCTCCCCACCTCCCAGGGCAGGAGCAGGAGCAGGAGCAGCGAGGAGGGGGCTCGGCTGTCCTCCCCAGCAAGGCAGGCGCTCCGTCACTGCAGGGAGCGCTGTGGGGGGACCGCACGGGGACCGCCTTGGCCGGCGACCCCAGGAGGACGTTGAGAGGGTAGAGTTGAAGGCAGCGGCTGGTGATGCCGGTCCTGCTCGGCGCCAGGCATCGTGCGGAGCCTGTGTTGGTTAAGCCCCGGGAAGCGCTGGGATTAGGTGTTTCCGTTAGTCCCATTGTACAAATAAAGAAAGTGAGGTGGAGGGGGGGCATCACGCACAAGGCCACGTGGCCGGTGACTGGCCGAGTCCTCCTGTCTGTGATCCTCTGTAAAAATCCTCAAAGGAGACACTTGCCCCCCTAGGCTAAGACCAGAGAGTCACAGTGACGTGTCAGGTCGCACAGCCCCGTGCAGGCAGAGGCGGGGGGTCGGCGGGCGGCCCCGGCCCCACTCCTGTGTAGTGTCTGTCTCGTCTAACCTCGGACCCGCAGTCCCTCCTCTTTGGGCCCTGGTTTTCTTGCTGCTCCCATGAGTCAGTAATACCCACACCTTGGTTCACGATTGGGGTTAACTGATTGAGATCCAGCAGTGAGCAACCGGCAGGTGACTAAGGGGAGCCAGCAGTGACTCTGTCTCGCCAGAGAGGCTACTCTGCCCGGCACGAGGTCCGCCAGTTCCACTTCACCGCCTGGCCGGAGCACGGTGTCCCCTACCACGCCACAGGGCTGCTGGCCTTCATCCGGCGCGTGAAGGCCTCTACCCCGCCTGATGCTGGGCCCGTTGTCATCCACTGCAGGTGAGGCCTCGATCCCAAGGACGAGACGACTGGGCGTGGGGTTGGTTCTGGGTCCCTGAAGGAGAGGAGGCTTGGGTTCATCCTACTCACAGACAGAGGACAGGAGAGACTGACCCCCAAGGGCCCTTCAAACTGTGGCTCTGAGGTTGGCGCCCTGGTGTGCTGCCCGAGACCTGTGGAGGCCCTGGGCCTAGAGGCTGTGGAGGCCCTGGAGGCAGTGGGGGGGAGGGGTTTGCGAGGCACCAGGCAGGTTGGGTTCCATTTGCTTCCGTTCAGCCAGTGTCCATTGCACACCTGCGTGCTGGGCTTGGCCCAGGTGCTGGGAAGGACTTTGCCTTCTCTTCTCTGAATCCTGAGGGCTTTCATCACTGCGGGGCCCTCATGCTCTGTGCAGCTCCTGAGCATCACTCCTTTCTCTTCCAAGTCCTGCCTTCGTTGGCTCCTGTGGCCCCCCCACCCCCCGTTTGCCCTTCCTCTGCTTCCTCTCCGGCTCCACAGCTTTCTCTTGCCTCTGAAGGGCCTTGTCCTGTTCCTGCCCCACTCTCCTCCTGGGGAGCTTCCCCTCTGACCCTGGGGTCTCACCGACTCCCCTGGGCCCACAGGTCCTCGGCCTCTGTATCTGGTCCTGGCTCCTCTGCTTGGATTCCTCTCAGCTTCCCAAATGCCACGTGGCAGACCCCCTACCTCCCTCACCCGCCCCCCTCACACCACTTCTCAGGTTTCTTTAGGCTTCTTTAAGATGCTGTCTTTATTTATTATTTTTTAACAGAGATTTTATTTATTTATTTGAGAGCGAGAGAGAGAGCATGAGCAGCAGAGGCAGAGGGAGAAGCAGGCTCCCCACTGAGCAGGGAGCCCGATGCGGGGCTCGATCCCAGGACCCCAGGATTGTGACCTGAGCCGAAGGCAGATGCACCACCGACTGAGCCACCCAGGCGCCCCTAAGATACTGTCTTTAAAATAAGATTTCATTGAGGTATAACATACTTAAAGCAAAGTGCACACAGAATAAGTATATATAGAACTTCATCCATTTTCATAAATTAAACACACCTGTGAAATAACCAGCACTGTTCAGATCAAGAAATAGAACATTAACAGCATCCAGAAGCGCCCTTGAGCCCCCTTCCAGTCTGTACCCACCTCCTCGCTCCCAGAGCAGCCTCCATCCTGACTTCTAAAGCGTGAATTCATTTTGTGTGTTTTTGAACTTTGTATAAATGGAATCACACAGCATGTGCTCTTTGGTGTGTGACTTCTTCCCCTCCACCTTATGTTTATAGGATTCATCCATATTATATCCTGTCCCGCTGGATGAGTAAACCACAATGTGTTTATCCATTCTGCTACTGATAGGTATTTGGGTTGTGTCATTTTGAGCTATTATGGTTAGAGCTGCTAAGAACGTTCTAAGGCATGTGTGTGGGCCAGAGTACGCATGTGAAGTTTCTGGGGGGTATGTACGTAGGGGTGGAAGTTCTGCCAGGCAGACATTCAGCTTTGGTGGAGCCTGCCAGTCCTCCAAAGTGGTCGTACTGATTTCAGCCGCCAGCAGGGGCGGGTAGGAGACCCGCTACTACGCATTCTTGCCAGTATTCTTGCCACGTAGAATACTACGCGTTCTTGCCACCATTTTCAAGCTTGAAATCTTGGAGTCATTTTTGTCCTCTCTCTGCCCCCTGACTCTGCTCACCCTGGGGCTGAGCCTGAGCATCCCAGAGATGGGTCCGACACAGCCCAGCTCTGGATGAGCTCCCAGTCCGGTCAGGGAGACAGCTACATGTGGCAGGAAGAGTGTTTGACAAGAGCCTGCCGGGATTCCTCTGGGAGCTCAGAAGAATGACATCTGCTGGGAGGGTTGGGGAGGCTCCCCTGAGTGTGTGAGCAGGTGTGAGTGTGTGGGGCTTTGAAGGCTGTGTGGATTTGGGGCTACCCAGGAGGCGAGAACATTCTTAGTTTAAGCCCTGGGCATCACCTTTGTCCTCTGCCCATCTCAGTTGCTACCCTTTGCCCTCCTCTTCTTCCCGAGGCCCGTCCCCAGCTCGGTCTTGCATCACATTTCCACAGCTCCTGCTGCAGACTTCTTCCCGGCTCCTCCTCGCCACTGGGGTGGGATACCTCTCTGTCCCCCAGCCCCTGTGTGGTGTAGACATGACCAGGCACCCCAGGCCACCTCTTCCCTTCTTCTTGGCCCCGGGCTCCCTCCCCAGGCTCTGATGGGGCCCTTGGCTGCTCTCTCCCCAGCGCGGGCACTGGACGCACAGGCTGCTACATTGTTCTGGATGTGATGCTGGACATGGCGGAGTGTGAGGGCGTCGTGGACATTTACAACTGCGTGAAGACCCTCTGCTCCCGGCGCGTCAACATGATCCAGACAGAGGTGGGGGACGCAGCCCTCCCTCCCTGCCCGCTCTGGGACTTGGGTCCCTCATGGAGGAACTCAGAGCTGGCGGAGTGTGTCAGAGGGGTGTCGGAGGATCTTAGAGCTGAGATCCCTGAGCTTGGCCTGCCAACCTCTGAGGGTCTTCCCAAAGTCAGCTCCACTGTGTTCAGTTGGGTGAGGTCAAACAGTCAAGGGGCCAAGGTCATAGGTTTTGCAGGTAAGATCTACTGGTGTTCGTATCCTCGTTAGATGTGTGACCCTGGGCTCTCCCTTCACCTTCAGAGCTTCTTACAGGGTGTTAGAGGGATGAAACATGAGGTAAGTGAACATATCTGTGAAGATTGTTCCAGGTAGGGTTGGTCCAACCTGTACTAATACCTAGTTGGACTCTAGCATCCCTGCCTCAACTTTGGGCTTGCTTCCTGCTGCCATCTCCCCCAAATCTCTAGGTTCTAGTCCCCTCCAGGTTCCTCATATTCTCTCCTCCTTTTCCAGGAGCAGTACATCTTCATTCACGATGCAATCCTGGAGGCCTGCCTGTGTGGGGAAACCACCATCCCTGTCAGCGAGTTCAAGGCCACCTACAAGGAGATGATCCGCATTGACCCTCAGAGTAATTCCTCCCAGCTGCGGGAAGAGTTCCAGGTGGGGCAGGAGTGTGTGTGTCTAGGTGTGTGTGTGTGGTTTGTGAGTGTGTGTGTGTGTGTTTGTGTGTGTGTGTATTGGGAATTCCTCAGTGCTATAGGAGGGACAGTAGGGCTACTGGGGAGGACTTGGAGACAGTGGAGGAGGTGGTCCCTCCAAGTGGCTAAGAGCCTATGCTTTGAATCAAGGGAGCCCAGGTTCAAGTTCTGGCTCAGTGAAGAGCTGTGAGTAGCCTTGAGCACTCACATTACCTCCCCAAGCTTTGGTTTTTCTTACCCAGGAAAGAAAGTCAATATTGCCCTCGTAGTGTTTGTATTCATCAGGATTCTTTTGGTCGCAAGTGACAAAAATCTGGCTCAATGACTCTTGAAACTGAAAAGTCCAAGGATGGTGCAGCTTCAGTTATGGCTGGATCCAGGGGCTTAAACGATGATGCCAGGATGTAGTCTCCGTCCATTTTTGGTTCTGCTGTCCTCTGTTTTTGGCTTCTTTCTCAGACCCGTACCCTGGCCCCCAGCAGTGCCAGGCTCATGTCATCCCTACTGTCAGGAGACTGGAAAAATGACTCCCTACAGTCCCAGTGGAAGTCCTAGACCAGATTCTCCTGTGCCATCCCTCAGCCAGTCCCTGGGCCAGAGAGTAGGAACACATGACTGGCCCAGGCCTGGTTCTGAGGTTGGAGCCACTGTCCGCATGTCAAATGACAGAGATGGAGGAAGGCTGGTTCTCCTGAGAAGTCCCAGAGTGGTCCGTGGGCAGGCAGAGGCCCCAGATGTCCTCTACACTCCAGGTTCCTGCCAGGGTTCAGCGGGCTGGCCCCTTCTAGACGCCTGACGCTGGAGAGCCTGCACAGATGGTATCATAGGAAATGCCACCTCTGCTTCTTGGAGCCCTGTTGGGGATCATGAGAGACTGGGGTTCACTGTTAGCGATCCTCAAGGACAAGAGAAAGAAGCGGAGACCCCATGGATCAGGCTGTAGGAGGCATGAGGTGGAGGAGATAACCCAGAGTCCCAGGCTTGCTGTGTGACAGGTGCCCTGGACTTGTGTTCTCTTCCGACAGGGCTGACCGCCTCCGCCAGGTCCCCGCAGGCCGCTTTGTGGAAGATGTGGGGCCTCAGGGCTTGTCTGCCTGAAAGCACCTGATCCTCACTGTGCCTTTTATGTAGGGAGCCTTGCATCTGCCAGGCTCGGTGCTCGGACCTTGGCAGTATCTCACTCAAGCCTCCCAATAACCCCTTGAGGCAGGCGTATTATTATCCCACCTTCCAGTTGAGAACAATAATGCTGAGAGATACAGTAGCTTGTCTAAGGTTACACAGGGAGCGAGGAGGCAGACTCGATCTCCAGAGCTCTGTTCAGAGCCTGTGTGGTCTGGAGACCGGGAGCCAGCCTGGGGTCCCTGTCCTCGCCCCCTTCTCTCTGGACCTCAGTTCTCCATCCATGAAATGGGGTTAACAGCCCAGCTCAGTGTCCTTCATGGGGCCGTGAAGAGGCCCAGCGAACACTGGAGGTCCACACTCACCCCTCCCCCCTGACCCCATTGCTCCCTCCACTCCCTGTAGACGCTGAACTCGGTCACACCGCCTCTGGATGTGGAAGAGTGCAGCATCGCCCTGCTGCCCCGGAACCGGGACAGGAACCGCAGCATGGACGTCCTGCCGCCCGACCGTTGCCTGCCCTTCCTCATCTCTGCTGACGGGGACCCTAACAACTACATCAATGCGGCCCTGACGGACGTGAGGGCTCGGGCAGCCCTGGGCTCGGGGACCCCCTCGGCCAGCAGTACCTGGGATGGCTCAGGAGCCAGGGGGGCAGAGCCGAGGGGGGAAGCTAGGGGTACTCTGCAGGTGGACCAGGAGCAGGGTCAGCGCCTGTCACTTGTCTGGGGCCCTGGATTGGGCTCTCAGACCCTCCCTCCATGGAGTTGGAAGGGACTTAGAGATGTATTTATTCACAGATATTTATTGAACCTCTACAATGTGCCAGGCACAGACCATACGCCCCATACCCCCAAATCTCTGCTCTCCTGAACCTTGTATGTGGGTGATGGGTTGGGGCAGTCAGTACACAAAGATACAGTGGCATGTGAGACACTGGTAATTTCTACAGAAAGCTACTGGGCAGGAGAACTATATAATGTGGGCTTTGGAGTGTGTGTATATAGCTATTTTTGATGAGGTGGTAAGGAAGGCCCCTTTGAGGAGGTGACTGTCAAAGAGCAGAAGGAAGTGAGGGGGAGAACTGTGTAAACATTTGGAAATTTGTTCTAGGCAACAGGAATAGCAGGTGCTAAGGCCCTGAGGCAAGGAGCAGGCTTGGCCAGCCTCTGACTACCCTGCCCATGTTCCCGTCACCACACATTTGGGAACGTTTCGTATTTCGTTCCAGCGGCCATGGGCTTGGACACCAGGGGCCTGGGGGTTGGGGGGCTCACCCTAACACTCAGGCCTCAGTGTGCCAGCCAAGCTCTGAAATGGACCCCCGGAGGCAGCCTGGTCCCGAGGGGAGAGCTGTCCAGCTCAGGGTGGGCAGAGCGGGAGGACGGCCTGTGGCGGGGGGCTCCGGCCCTGTCAGGTTGTGAGCAGGCCTGGCTGAGTCCTGGTTTCCCTGCAGAGCTACACGCGGAGCGCGGCCTTCATCGTGACCTTGCACCCGCTGCAGAGCACCACGCCGGACTTCTGGCGGCTCGTCTACGACTACGGGTGCACCTCCATTGTCATGCTCAACCAGCTGCACCAGTCCAACACTGCCTGGGTGAGGCCTCCGCTGCTCGGGGCCTCGTGTGCTCCAGGGCATGTCCCCAAAGCCCAGGATTGGATCCCAGCTGTGACCTTAGATGGGTCCCGCTCCCTCCCAGAGCCTTGCTTTCCTCCTCTGTAGAATGCGGCTGTCAGATTGGAGGGAAATAGCTGCTTTGTATTGAGTATCTGCTGTATGCCCAGGACTCTGCTTTGCACTTACGGGCTTCGGGTGAAAAGATTAAGACCCAGAGAGCTGGGAAGTGGCAGAGCTGTGCCCCTCCCCCAGGCTGCCTTCTTTCAGAGCCTGTGGGTGGACTCAGCTGCCCACCGTGGGGGCCTTTGAGGTTGGGCAAAACTCCAGCCCCCTTATTTTCTGACTGATCTTGGGTAAGTTCGTTTGCCTCTTTGAGCCTCAGTTTCTTTCCTGCCCAGCACACAGTAGGTGCTAAGTGCGTGGCAGGGATGAAGACGATGAAATTGTGGCTGAGGTGGGTCTAGACGCTGGCTTGGTGAGCTCCGCGTGGGGGCTGCCCCGGTTTTCTTTTGGGGTCCCCAAAGCTGGCACTGCCAGGAAGTACAGATGTTCAGCCTTCCAGCCCCGCGTGGTCATACCCCCTAGGTCTGGGCCTCTCTGCACGTCCGTGTCCTAGGCGGCCGGGAAGAGTTGCTCTAAAATGAGCCTGACAGCCTCTGAAAGGCTGAGAAGACTTGCTAATGGGGCTCTTTACGAGGCAGGCACGTGGTCTACATGACCAAGGACTGCAGTGTAATGGGCTCTTGTCCCTGGCACGGATCTGGGGGGAATCTCACGTGGGAAGAACCTGCCCTTGCTAAGGCGGAGGGGAAGGACCCAGAGGGAGGCTCACACAGATGTCATTCAGCCACCTTTCTCCACTGGCCACTCCCTGCCAGGCCTGCAGTAGGCAGTGGGGAGACGGAGGAAGCAACACACCGCCCCTCTCGGATCTTGTGGTCCAGGGGGACTCGGGGTGCAAACCCCCAACAATGGCACCACACCGGGAAGGGGCTGTCATGGAGCTGGCACTGGTCTCCCTGCAGAGAAGCCTGGGGAGAGCGTATCAGGGAAGGCTTCTGGAGGAGGCAGTATCTGAGCTGAGCTGTGTAGGGAGGGTAGAGCTGAGCAGGTGAAGAGAGGGGGGATGGGTGATCCATGGAGAGGGAGCAGCATGTGCAAAGGCCCAAACACAAGGAGTGGCTGGGACCCCAGGCAAAAAGAGGAAGGTAGTGCCCTCTTTGTGGGCGTGGTCAGAGAGGGAAGCCGATGGAGCACGGAGTCATCTGGAAGGAGCTTGGGGACTGTTTCACAAATGGAGAAACGGGGCCCAGAGGAGGGAAGAGCCTCGCCTGGACTTCAGGCAGAACTGAGGCTAGAAGCTGGCGCTCTGGACCTACTGGCCTGGAGGACATGTGTCTGTGTGTGTGTGTGTGTGTGTGTGTGTGTGGAGGGGGAGACACTCCCTTCATCCCTCCGCTGTCTCCAGTCTGGCCTGGAGGGGAGGCTGCACGTGGGACCCTGACTCCATGGTAGGGCCCTAGGCAGGAGTGGGGGTTCTGAGCTGTGTTGCAGCTTCAGGGACACCCCACCTGTGTGAGCTGATGCTGGCGAGCAAGGCAGTGAGAGAGAAGGCCGGGAGGGGGCGGTGATGGGGTGGGCGGGGGTGGTCTGAGGCCTATCCCTGGAGGAAGGCGGCCTCATGCAGGGGTGTGTGTGTGTGCGTGTGTGTGCGCGCGCGTGTGTGAGCGTGTTAGGTGTGGCTGTGGAGCTGCTCAGTCAGGATTGTCCCCGTGCACCTATGAAGGGTTTGTCTCTGCTGACCTGAGCGGGTCCGTGCAGAAGACGTTGGGGCAGATGTGCCCTGCGCTCGGATGGGTGAGTGGCGGAAGCTGGGGGGACTCTGCAGGTGGACTGGGAGTGAGTGGGTCAGGATGTGTGGGAGCCCCAGAGCCAGGGTGGAGGTTCGGGGTGGGCAGGAGCGGCAGCTGCCCCCGCCTGGCTCGGCTCAGCGCTCCCCTCCGTGTCTGTGTCCCTAGCCCTGCCTGCAGTACTGGCCAGAGCCGGGGCGGCAGCAGTACGGCCTCATGGAGGTGGAGTTTGTGTCGGGCTCCGTGGATGAAGACTTGGTGGCCCGTGTCTTCCGGGTGCAGAACATCTCTCGGGTGAGTGACCTGGGCGCCCTATGGTGAGAACCTGGGTGGTGGCTGGGGGGCAACCTCACGAGACCCTCTTGAGGTCACCCCAGGGCTCATGTCCATCCCCCCCCCGCCGCCCTTGGCTGGCCACTTGTGCCCGCAGCTGCAGGAGGGGCACCTGCTGGTGCGGCATTTCCAGTTCCTGCGCTGGTCTGCGTACCGGGACACGCCTGACTCCAAGAAGGCCTTCCTGCACCTGCTGGCCGAGGTGGACAAGTGGCAGGCCGAGAGTGGGGACGGGCGCACTGTCGTGCACTGCCTGTGAGTGTGGGCCCTGCTGGCGTGGGGGAGAGGCCGGGAGACACAGGGCTGAGGGGGGAGGCCTCAAGGCTGCCACTAAACCCCCCGGGGCTTCCGGATGGCCCCATCTTCCCTGGAGGAACCCAGTCTGTTTCCAGGGTGTGGACTCAACCCTGGGCAACTGCCCAGCACCCTCTGTGTGATGTCTGACTTTGCCTGTTTAATTAGAGTCCTGTCAGAATTGTTCGCTCCGTGAGACAGTAGCACACTTTAAGCCAAAAGAATTCCAGTCTTTGTTCATGCATGCACGCGTGCAACTTTTGTCATTCGTCCCTTCACATGCCCTGTTCATAAATTCATGTATTCACTCCTGTCTGGGTGCAGTTGCTCCTTTGACCCCCACTTCCTCATGCTCTCAGTGCTTACCGACCCTTCCAGTGCCAGGCTAGGCATTCCGGGGACAGGGATAGGGAGCTGAGTCAGGCAGCGCCTGGCCCTCGGTGGCCTTTGGTTCTAGTGGGAGAGACCCCTCAAATGGGGGCTGAGGGCCTAGTCCATCCCCCATCTCCCCAGGGGAACCCCACATCCCGATGTTGCAGGGAACAGAGGAGGGAAAGGACGGGATAGGAAGCGTCTCTGTGTGTTTGGCTGCTGGTTTGCCTTGAAGTGTGGGTGTGTACGTGTGTGTTTTCACCATGTGTCTGTGTTGCTGGGGGTGACTGGTGCTCACAATGTTCATTTTCCATCCTGCTCTCTGGGGTTTGCTTGCTGCTCTGCCCCCCTCCTCCGTCTCCATCTTTGTCTCCGTGGCTTTCTCTTGGAGTGTGTCTGGCCTCCTTTCCCTCAGAACCTGCTGTCTTTCTCCTGGAGGCTACCTCCCTAGTTGCCTACAGCTTTTGGATGCCAGTCTTAGCGTCTGAGCTCCCAGACCCCTCCCTCCTGGGTTCCCTAAGCCCCGCCCTTCTGAGCTCCCAGACCCCTCCCTCCTTGGTTCCCTAAGCCCCGCCCCTTCCTTTCGGGCGTTCCCTGGCCCCTCCCTTCTGGGGTACCCTGGCTCCGCCCCTCTTCTCTGGGCTCGCAGGCCCTGACCCTCCTCCCTTTTGGTTCCTTGGTCCTGCCAGTCACTTTGGTGTTCTGGCCCCGGGCCTCCCCCTCTTGAGCCCCTCCGCCTCTTGAGCCCCACCCCAAACCTTCTGTGTGTCTCATTTAGAAACGGGGGCGGCCGCAGTGGCACCTTCTGCGCCTGTGCCACAGTCCTGGAGATGATCCGCTGCCACAACCTGGTGGATGTTTTCTTTGCTGCCAAAACGCTTAGGAACTACAAGCCCAATATGGTGGAAACCCTGGTGAGAGGCCCTGTCCTTCTGCCCAGCCACTTCCAACTTGCCAGTCCATGCCCGGCCAGGTCCCTCCACACCACTGTCCTCTACCTGGTTCCTCCCATTGGGCTTTGGGTTCTGATCCGGTGGTGCCAAGACATTTAAACCCATTTGCCCCTTCCCCCCAAAGATGGGCCAGGGCTCATGCTTGCCCTCTGGACCCTCATTCTCCCCTTCCCCAGTACCAGAGAGGGACCAGGCTCATGATGCCTTCTCTCCCTCTCCCCAGGATCAGTACCACTTTTGCTATGATGTGGCGCTGGAGTACCTGGAGGGTCTGGAGTCAAGATAGCGGGGCCCCTGGCCTGGGGCACGCATTGTGCACTCAGGGCCAGGCCCAGCACGGACGAGGAAGACCTGGGCCCCGACTCTGCTCCACTACAACTCCCACGGGGAAAGCACTAGAGTGGGCCCTGCGCCATCTTGGTGCCCCTTTCCGCTGTGGGCAGGGCCTCTCAACGTGTCCGATGATGGGCAAGCTGTGGGCCACAGAGGAGCTTAGCGGCTGCAGCCCAGCCCCCCTCCACAGGGTCCTGCAAGTCTGCACTGTGAGTCTGGCACTGCCTGGTGGAGTGACAGGGGCTCAGGGCTACCAGCTTGGGAGGACCCAGGCTCAAGCTCCTTGACTCCAGGCTCAAGCCCCAGACTCTGTCCCAGCCCTTGGCAGAGATGAGTGAGCCCCTGCAGAGTCTGCGGCTGGCCAAGGTTTCCACCCAGCGTGGCTTCCTCTTGACACAGATAGAGGGTGCATTGGGACTTGGCATCTGGAATCCCACCTGGCCTGGTCCCTGAGGGTCCTGGGGAGACTGGGCACATCAGACTGGTCCTCCCCAGAGGGGACTATGGTCCCCTCCTCCACCCTGCTGCCCCCCCCCCAGCCCCGGGGATATTTTGCTTATGGTCCCTCCCACTATTACTTCTTTGATGTGTGCTCTGAGCTTCCTTGAACCCAGATCTGCCCTTCCCTTGCCCTATTCTCCATGGGGGCCCTTTCCCTGCCTGACCCAATGTCTGCAGAATGAAGGTACCTCAGCCCTTCTTCCTGTACCTTTCAGGCCTCACTGGTGGGTCCTGCTCAGCCTAGGCCAGTGACAATCTGCAAGGTTGAACAACAGCCCTTGGGGTTGAGGTCTCTGTGACTTCTGGTCAGGCTGCCCCCTGGGGACAGGGCCCTACTAGATCGGGGTGCTTGCAACTTCTACAGTTCAGAGGAAGAACATGTATTTTGGGATGGAGGAACAATTCTCTTTTGTTAATTTTATGATTTTTTGATGGGTGGGTGGGAAAATCTCTTTAAAATGGGGCAGGCCACACCCCCATTCCGTGCCTCAATTTCCCCATCTGTAAACTGTAGATATGACTACTGACCTACCTCGCAGGGGGCTGTGGGGAGGCATAAGCTGATGTTTGTAAAGCGCTTTGTAAATAAATGTGCTCTCTGAATGCCACAGAGCAGCCTTGTGTGTGTGTGACCAGCCTGAGTGGGGCCTGCTCGCCTGCCCCCAGGTTCCTAGTGCAGTGGGAGGGCTCTGGGCTGGGAGGCAGAGGCCTGGGTCCAGTTAGGCCTTGGTTTTTCCATTCATATAATGGTCAGGTATGGATCAGAGCATCGCTCAGGGGCCTTCTTGCGGGGGCAGGTTCTAGAGAACTCTGTCTATTGCTGCCTCCACCCAGGCCTCTGGAAGCAGCTTCTCAGGTAGTGGGCTTCATCCTGAGACCCCTAAAGGTCCACAGAGCTGCCTCTCACCCCTCAGGGGCCTGGATCTGGGTTGAGCTCTTTTGGGGACAGCATGGGAGGCTCAGGCTTTGGGATCAGGTGGATGGGCCTCACCAGCTGTGAGACCCTGGGTAAGTCAGCTCCCTCTCTGTAAAATGGAGTAAGACCCTGGTAGGATCAGAAGAGGTCATGATTAAGTGCCTTGCATGGTACCAGGCATGCTGAAAGGGCTCTGTTTACAAACACACAACAGAGACAGACACACCCTGCCTATGATGGTCATCCCAGCCATTCCCAGCCTTGGGCTTCTGCTAGGGGTGGAGTGGAGGAGGAGTGGGCTAGCTGGTAGGGATCCTAGTCACTCCTGGCTCTGTCATAAACTTGTGTCATCTTGGGCAAGACAAATCGTGTTTCTGGGCCTCCGTTTCTTCATATGGAAACTGGCTCCTTGATGTACTGATTCTGTTCTCCCACTGGCTGACTCCTGTGCCTCAGTTTCTCCATTGGCAAGAGAATACAACCCATTCCAATGACTTCAGGATCTAACATCTTTTAATCTGAATTAAGAATTTATTATGATCCCACTTATCTAGGGTATATGAGCGTCCCCCCCCCACACACTCAGTCTGAATTGACTACTAAGCCTTACCTGATGGTCACAAGTGTATGTCAGATCCTGGCCAAGCAATAGAATGTGACTTGCTTTGACCAGTAGAAGATGGCAGAAGTGATGTCAAGTGAGTTCTGGATCTTAAGCCTCAAGGGGCAATGCAGCTTTTGCTTTTGTCCTCTTGGAACTCTGCCATGTAAGGAAGCCTATCTAGCCTGCTGGAAGATTTGAGGGCCCATGGAAGAACCAGAAGAACACAACCCATGAAAGGCCAATACCAACTACCAGACCTGCGAATGGGGCCATCTTGGGCCTTCCAGCCTGGCAGGCCTCTCAGGTGAGTATAGCTGCATGATTGAGCTTGGCAGAAGCTGCCCAACCAACCCTAGAACTGAAAGAGATAATAAATTGTTCTTTTTTTAAGCCAAAGTTTTAGGATTGTTTGTTATGCAGCAAAAGCTAGCTGATACATATATGTTCTGGGCGGTGTGGTTGCAGCTTTACTCTTTGCCCCAGAATGAACCAAGGTCCCACCCCCAGCTCAGCATAGCCCCCAGCTGGTGACCTTGCACCGAACCACCCTGGTTCAATTTCCTAAACTAGAAAATCAACATAACGATACCTACTTGCAGGAAGTCTAGAGATAAAATGTTTAAAAGAACTAGAATAGTCCGTGGTGACCTGACTGGCCCTCAGTACATGCCATCACATGATACTGAAGTCCCCAGGTAATAAACACGGCCTGCATGACCTTTCATTCAACACCCTTACTTCCTTCTTAATCCATACAACAGCTCTTCGAAGTAGGGATACTGCCCCTTCATTCCGGGGACGAGGAAACGGAGGCCCGGGAAGGCACTGCACTCACTCAGGGTCACAGCCATTGTATGGCTGAGCTGGGGCTCCAGCTTGACCCCACGTTAGGCTGACCCCAAAGCCTGGGCCTCTCACTGCTCTGCTCCATGGCCGGTCTGGGTGGTGGTGAAGGCCGGAGGATCCCTTGGTGCAACACCAAATGGCTGACCCGTGGCCGGGGCACTGATTTTCAAATGCTCTGAAACGTGTCAGCGGGGGTGGCCTCTCGCACAAGGCGGCCGGAGGCATGAGAAGACAGATGGCCCAGCCTGGCTCTGCCCGGGGCCGCAGGCCTTGCATGTGTGGGGTAGAAGCCCCCACCCCCCAGATGCCTGCAAAAAGGGTTTCTAGAAGTGCAGACGGGCCGGCTGTCTCCTCGGGCCAGAAGCTGAATTTGCTTCTTGTGTCATCATAAATCGGGCCATCGGAGCTGAGGCCGTTAGTGCTCCTCATGACCTCTGCGGCCGCCCCTGATCGGGAGGGGCTGCATGGCCTGGGCACCGGGGAGACCGAGGCCGCCTGCACGGCCCTCACTGACTGCGGCCCGTCTCGGGGCCCCCGCCCACCTGCCCTGGCTGGCCTCGGATGGCCCGGAGCCCAGCAGACACGCCGGGGCCGAGGGCCGGGCCGGAGTCCTGGCATCGGTGCCGGGGCAGAAGCTGCTTTGCCATGCGGCGCAAAGAGCAGCGACTCTGGCGTCCGCGGCCTGGGCCCGAGAGCCTCCTTCTCGCGGGGGCACGGAGGCCGTCCTCACCTTCCGCGGGCCTCCGTGCCTCATCTGAGCCGTGGGAGGAGAAAAAGCCACGGGCCGTGGTGCTCCCAGGGCCGGGGAGGCCGGGAGGTGTGGACGGGGGGCAGGGAGCCACGGTTCCCACAGGTGTGGGCCGGGCTACATCCCGGGGGTGTGGACGG